TTTCTGGAGCTTAAGTCGCCGCTGCGAAACGTTCAAGGAGGGACAAAAAAAAAAAAAAGAGAAGAAGAGAATGAAAGTGTGATGAGTTCTAGATAGTCAAACTGGTCAAACCTGCTTCCGTTGCTCAAAGGATACTAATGTTACAATTATGATTACAAAAATCTGTCGTATAGAAATCGAGGTTTAAAAAAGTACATTTTTAAAATATCCATATTTTTTTTTATTGGAGAAAGGAAATAACATGAAACGAAATTATTCTTGATAATACTTATACTTGATAATACAAAATATTTTTAGATAGTTTTAGATCTTCTCGATTTTAGTATCACAATTTATTTTTTATTTAAATCATTAAAATATATACTTCAAATTATTATTTCATTTTTAAATTATTAATTTAACATCGAATTAGTTCATTTTAAATAATAAAGCATTCGTCGATCGATAATAATCAATTTAATCGTATTTGAAGAAATTTTCGACATAAATCAGATTCAAAGAAAAGCGTATAAGTAGATCGCTATTATCGCGTAAGCAAAGAATGTTTGACGCACACGAGAATGAAAACTCGTCGATTACGCAATTTCTCTCGTGTTCGAGGCGACGATCACCTGCGGCGACTCTCGATACTTCCTTCTTTTTTCCATCGATCGACCCTATGACGTAATTCGAAACACACGTTTATTGGTATTTATAATATCCCGGCCGAGCGCCGGGGAATTTTAAATCGCAAATTACAAACCAAATTAAGAAATACGTCTTCGATCGCGTTTTATGTCCTGGCAAAGGAAACGGGACGGCCACGATAAATTATTCTCCACAAACTTGACACATTCACAGTCTCGCGTGTTTTATGCTTAATTACATTTCGAACGCAAGTTCGCGTGCAATCGTGATGCTCCCAATCTCATTGCTATATTTACTCTCACCGTGTAATTAAATTATTTGCCTATTTATACCTCAGCCTTGAAATGTTGGGCTTCATTTAAAAATTAATATAAATCTAAAGGTGCATATCGCATGGCACGTGACATCGTTTTTATTTGGAGGAAAGTTGAAAATTCCTTATGCAGTAGGTATTTGAAATAATTTTTGTAACAATTATCTTTCACGTTTAAGGGTGAGTTTACAATTTTCCAATTGAAACTTGATCGAAACTTAGAACATTTCCGTCATTTTCTAAATAAAAATCTTATTATAGCTTTAAATTTTCAACTTCATTTTTCAAAATATTAATAATTAACAATTTTTATCCGTATTGAATTCGTGTTTCTGATATAAACGCAATTATCCTTTAGAAATAATTATAAAATCGAAGAACGAAATTCATCTTGTTCTCGACGCGTTCTCTTCGATTTGAATTCTTATCGTTCGATAAAACTTATCGCTCCCTTCATCTTTCTCCCTTCTACACGATGAAGAAAATTCAATACTCTCCACGTCGTCGAAGAAAAGCGCGCAGGATGAACTTATCAACAGGCGCGCGTTTCCACCCTCCTCGCTGTTTCTCCCTACATTTTACCCGGTCGATTTACTTTTTCCACGTGACCCACGCTCGATTTATAATCTTCTCGTCGCACTTTTTGCGCTTCACCCCGTTCGCGATTCAAGAATCAACGCGTACACGCCTTAGACGCGTTCGCTCTCTCCGATAGAATAAGTTACGACGTCATCCAATGTTCGAAGCGTTCGACGTTCTCACAATGGCACGATAAATCAGCGTCAAACGCACGCTTCATTTTGTCCGTCAATTTGTTGGGTACGGCGATGCGTGCCGAACTTTAAGCCACGTATATCCATTGGATATCGCGCGAGATGATTACCACATTTGTAAGAATCCCTGGAGATAACTCTCGATGTGGTGTAAGGAATATTATACAAAAAAAAAGGAAATGATTTTATTTTGATATTTCTTCATTGCTTCTACTTTATTTTGATTTCTATCTCTCAGATAATCCTTCAACAAAAAAAAAGATGGCTGTTTTGATGCAACGAAGTCATCGATACTTTTTTTTTTTTTGTATCTTTTTCCAAGTGCCAATATTTGTCAAATGACGATTGAACAAACGATCCTTCATTCAAGGAGAAAAAAAATAATATATTTTTGCTAAATGCAAATATTCGAATTCGGTATTATAAATAATTTAATACAAAGCCATCGAATTAATAATCAAGATTATTTTTATTCGGATTAAATATACGTAAATCAACGTCTTCTGACGCGTACAGATTCCACCATCAGCATTTCGCATTCGCGCCAATCCGCTAGTAAATGGCGGGACGTTTACTGTCATCGTAGATTCAAGTAGGCACACGATTCATCGTGTCACGCGAGCCGGTTTGGCTATACTTTCAACGCGTGCACAGCCGTTTGTTGCTCCTTTCATCCCTGTGCCCGCGATACACCGTAAACGCGGCAAAACGCTGATTTATCATCGCTACGTAACAAGCGCGCGTGCGTTTCCATCTTTCTCCATTTACACGCAGGGACAGCGTTCTTCCTGTTCGCGGACCAGCGATAACTTCTCTTTCATTCAATCGTTTTCAGGGACGTTTGTCGATTTGAAAAATCGTGTCAGAGTGGGCACAGAGTTGCATTGATCGTTAAGGTTAAGATTCTTAGAAGAGAGTGAAACGAGAACGAAGGAACAAACTTCTTTTTGACAGTCTTTATTTCTTTGTCGATACTTATACATTTATCATGAATAATAATAAGTATTAAATGTCTTATTGT